GTCAAACTTTATTATTCACAATCAGAGGCTTACGTCTGCCAACAATACCCATGGCTGATTATCGCCCCTCAGAGATTGTTGATATTCTCCTTGTTCTCGGAGAATGTGAACTAAATTATCATGAAGCTTCGTGAGTTTACCGGAATCGTTACCGCGAAAGAGAACAACATCCGCATCATACTACAATCCGGGACCTCGAACTAAGAGCTCGCCAAGGCCGTTTAGGACGTCAAAGCACATCATGCATTTTCAAATTGCAAATTTGGAGCTTTATAACTCGAAAAGTACTCAATGAAGAAACATTTCATTATAGTGTTTTGGAAAGCTCTCGAGGTCAGCTAAAAGAATATGTAATAAAAAGTAGAGGATGCCATTAAAAAAAATTGAGGTGACCTTCATGTGACTTTCAAATAATTCTTCAAGGTCAAACCAATGGTACCGTCTATTGTCCTCTCGAAACCAAACAACTTTTGTCTGAAAAATTTTTCTCTCCCGGGCTTGGTTTTCGAAATATTCGACTGGGTCGATTAAAATGGCCCACTTTGTATATATATATATNTGATAGCTGGTTTAGTATAAGTCGTGATTTTTATTGTTTTTTCTTTATATTACAGAAATCTTCATTAACTTATTCTATTATTGATTTAATTATGCCATTTATTTCAATTATAATTAAGCAAAATCGATCACATCCACTAACCAATTTCTATGAAATCTTCTTCCTAGTCCTATTGCTTGTGGCCGGGCGTGGTGATTTCTGTCACATGCCTGTGGTGCGCACACTGATTATACACAGGCATATGGGACCTACAGTTTTTAACGCCGGTTCCGAACAGCAAGATTTTTAGAGAAATTCTCTTATCAAGGGTACTCCCGGTGGTTTGCCATTACCTTCCGAGAGGAGATACGAACGTAAATATTTTGGCTTTTACCGAGATTGAACCCAGGATTGTTAGTATAGTGAACCAGTACGCTGTCTGTTATGCCACGTAAGCGCTCTAATAATTCTATGAAATAATAATTTTCAAATTAAATGTTATTATGAAAAAGAATAGTTAAACTCGCAATTACTCGCAGGGGTTGATTTGACCTACGGTTATGTGAATTCTGCTGATTACTCTTGTTAAAAATAGATGTTTTTTTCGGATAGAACCTATTTGACCTTTGATACTAATGACTATGACTAACATATATGATTCTTAGGGTCAAGGTAACCTCAGGTCATGATCATCTAGTTTTATATAAAATTTTATGCTCTGTCGATTTCTTAAAGATGAGGTTTCTATTTAAAAAAAATCAAGTTGATAAATACTTTTTTCAAGAATTTTTCATCTAAAAATTAACTTGACCTTCAAATGACCCTTAGGGGTCAATTTGATCACGTAACATGACTGTTTACTTGAACATAAAATACCCGTTTTTTTCATTTCTGGAGTCAAAAATAGGGGTTTCCATTTTAAAACTCTGTGGTAACCGACACGTACAACGGTCGATTTGTAAGGCGGTGCGCGAGGCAAACCACACACACGGCGACAGTTCGAACCGCGCGCCAAACGGAGCTTTGTTGCCACGCCGCTACGCGGCGAGAGCTCTTCTCTGCTCAAAGCTAAAAACGCTTCCAAGAGGCATATACGGCCTTCATTACGGGGGGGGGGGGGGGGGAAACAAAAAAAANCTTTCGAGCGACAGCCTCTCTCGTATTGTGAATAACGTGAATAACGTGATATAGAGATAACCCGCTTCTCACGCTAAAAAGCATATACGCGCTGAATAGGCGCTAGTGCTGCAAAGCGCCGAAAACAATCGTACTGTAAAGTACGCTCCTGCTAGCGCTGCAAAAGCACCTAGAACAACCGTACTGTGTACGCCCCTAATAGCGCTGTAAAGCGCCTCAACAACCGTAGTGTAAAATACACCCCTGATCGCGCTGAAAAAACGCCGATAAAAGCAAATTGAGGAAACGGAAGGGTCAAAGGAGGAACACCTGGAGCTCTTCGGCCCCGACTTTCTGGAACCACTACGGCTTCACACCCTAATGCCGAGAAGTCTCTCACCGAGGCCGAGGTCACCATTACCATCGAGGGAATTAACACCCTCACCACTAGACTGGTTACCTGCCGAACCGGAACCCGCTAAGACGGACGTGGTGTTCCAGCCCTGGGTACTTCAGCCGCTGAAGCTAACTCCACCTCGGCGGATGAGACTCCTCTGTCACAGCTCGCTCAAGAAACTCTCGGGTCGGTCGACACTTGTCGCCAAAATATAAGGAAAAAGATCCTCGGCGACGACGAGAGGAACGCAGACCATACGGAGCATGGTACAACGGGACCAGCAGGACCGAAAGAACGGGACCACGGAGTACCTCATTCTAAATGCAGTCGCACGACGACGGCTGCGAAGACAAGCTCTACAAAAACTAAATAAAAATTATCACGACACGAACACACCAACACATGTAGCTCTGTAAATATAAATCATGTTTACCTGTAAAGAAAAACTTTAATCATTTATTCTACCTGGTTATATAAAACTAAACTAAAAGGTAATATGAAATTACCACTAAAAGTCTCCAAGATGGCATTGAAATGATTCTTAAATTTGACTCCTAGGTTAAGGTTAAAATTATCATGAAGTGCTCCCTACTTTGAACCCTACTACTTTTGTATTTAACATTTTTTTCTATATCCCATTCCTTCCAAGGTTTTTCAAGGGCCCGAGACTTTTTCCTCACCCCGTATAATTATTGCGAAAAAATTGCTTTTTCTCCGTTAATCTTGCTTTACAAATAAAACCTTTCATGCGTTTCGACAGGATGAAAATCTAACACCGGAAGAGAAAATATTAGAACAAATCGCGTTAGCAGAAACAGAGCAACGTTTAATAGCTAGGCGGAAATTCCTAGCGGAGAAATGCGCCGAGGAAGGACTCGATCGTCCTGGTAACGATTCGCTTCACAGGCCAAATGCCTGGGAGTTTCTTGTAAATAAAGAATATCACCTTATATGGTGCAATGTATTCAAAGCGGCTTCCACGTCGTGGATGTACAACTTTAATTTACTTGCGGGGTAAGTCCCATCGTTATTTACTTATTGGGTTTTTTTATCAGTGAAAATAAAAGTAATGAAAATAGAGTATAGAGAGAAAATAGAGAAAATAGAGCATGTGCGGTATATTTCGTTTCTGTTAAAAATTATGGAACATATTTATTAAAATGTAAGAGGATAAGAAAGAAGAAATAAAAGAAAAACGACACTACAGATAAAACTATTGACTAATTTTTCCTAAAATTTGCTAAACTTTTTATTTCTACCATTTACTAATATCATTACATATATGGAAAGAGAAATGTTGATTGAATTACTGAACTAGTTAGAGCTAGTTGCAAATAATCGAGTAGAAATAATTGCAATCGCATTAACATTTCAGATATAGTCCGCAATTCTTAAAAGCCTCAAAGGCTGTGCCGGTCTCATTGGCCAGACAGAGATATCCTAGGTATACAGCCGAGGAATTAGCTAAATTCCTGAACGACAGTATCAGTTTCCTCATAGTGCGGCATCCATTTGAAAGATTACTTAGTGCCTACCGGGACAAATTGGAACATAGTCTACCACACACGTTTCACAGCAATCTTGGCGCACACATAGTTTGGCATTACAGAGCAAGGGTAACATCATCATCCGACGATTTTTTAGAATAATGACTATTTCGATCTAAGCTAGAATAGAGTCATTTACCCGTGCGAAACTAAACTCTGTTTCAACATTTCAAAAAGATGGTAGTTCCGCTTGTCCTTTTGTCAAATAATATACTTTAATATGTAGCTTTTTAACAATATTTTTCTATTTTATGTAAAAGAGGAACGTCAACGAATGGAAGAATGTTGAGGAAATTTGTTTTCCTAGCTACATCTAATCTTTTAAAAATTATATTGATTTGATCATTTTAGCCATGAATACTTCAGAAAAAATTATTTTTTCTGAAGTATTCATTATGTATTGAACATGTTTTACTCCTGTCAACTAATCCAGGAATTTTATTTTTCAAATTGTAAGTATTGTAAACTTGACGAATATTTAAGAAAAAGAAATAAAAATGATTAGGAAATGGATATTTAAGAAAAAGAAATAAAAATGATTAGGAATGTAAAAATAATACATTGATTCTAATTTTTTGTCATAGGTTTAACTAAGATATGTAATATGACATGTGAAAAGCATATTGCGGGGATTAATGCAAAACTATGTAAAAAAGATTAAACTGTGTATCAAAAGTAAATTTTTCCATAAGTAGTATAAAAATATGTATCGTATTATAAATGCGTCTTGACCGTTTTCATGTTTTCTTATAAACATAAGTTTCTTCTTCCATTTTATGTTAGACCTTAAGCCTGTTTATTCCTCTTATGCATATTCCTATATTGCGCATGCTGATCATACACAAAACATATGGGACTTACAGTTTTATGCCGATTCCGAACGGTACATATTTTTGCGAGAGGTGTTTTGGGCTCTGGTGGCTTGGCTGACAGTGTAAAGGAGACACGAGCGTATACAAGTTTCTCAGGAATCGAACTCGGGACATCTAGAGTGGCAGACCAGTGCACTGTCTGTCACATCATGTTCGCACTCAAATCATAAGTTTACAGTACTTTACTGACATACAGTCTGTTCCACAAAAAAATATACGGCCTTAATGCAAAACAGTTGGCCGTAGCGCCATCTATTTTATGACGCTGGAAAGCTTGAAGTATACCTATTTGCACAGCATATGTTTTGTTGTCATTCCGACGTTACGGTTTAATTAGAGTGAAAATTTTCAAAATGAGTGCAAAGTATTTCAAACATTGCGTGACAACGTTTTTAGTTTTATATGCAAAAAGACCAAAATTAACGTATGCTCAGGCTTAAAAAAAATGTGGTTAGAAAGTTAAAGTTATTCGTTCAGAAGTGGGTGAAACAGTACAAAGAAGTAAGGAATGTTGACGACTTGCTAGGAAGAGGCTTAACCCGTGCGTCGAAAGAGGACAAAACGATCATACGTCTGTTTGAACGAAACCCTACGCTAACATTGCCCCAAGCTCGGGATCTTCGTGAAAAGGGTATAAATGTTGGAATAAACACCATAAGACGTCGTTTATATGAATCGAACGTAAAATATCGTTTCACAATTAAAAAGCCTCTTCTGACACAAAAACATGTCACAAGACTGGCATGGGCTCATGAAAATTTAAATAAAGATTAGGACAACATTATCTTCACGAATGAAGCTTCTTTTTGGGCATGATTACCTATTCGAAAAGCCTGGTCAGTTCCAAGTAATAAGATCATCCAGTGGACAGATAAGCATCTGTTTAAGATCCATGTTCGGGGATATTTTTGTAAGCGTAGTTTTGGTTGTCTCTATTTGTTTACTGATAACCTAAACGCTGAAAAAATGCGCCATTTATCAGAAATGTTTATTGACATCTGCTGAGAAATTTTATGGAAAACATAAAAACAATTAAGAATTTCAAGAAGATAACGACCCCAAACTTCGGAATCGCCTCTGCATAGAATGGAAAGCTAAAAATTGCATCATTACAATGAATTGGCCTGCATCGTCTCTAGATGCAAATCCAATTGAAAATGTATTGTTTTATAAAGCATTCGTATAAAGCACAAACTAAGAGAGAAATTTATCTTTATTCTTAAGCAATTGTCGACCAGAATCAGAAAGTTATGGCACTCTTTACCATTTGAATGTGCTCAAAAATTAGTCAAAAGTATGCTAAGAAAGTGTCAAGCTATAATGGACAATTGGAGGCGATTGGACCCATTATTAAATAATTGTGCAATATCTTTTTGTATCTACTTTAATATGCTAAAGTCCGTCCTTTTTTATTGGGAGTACAAATTAGTTCAGTCCGTTTTCAAAAGATGGCTCGGGCTGTTATTTCATAGTGACAGATGATTTCGATAGTTTCAGAAAGGTTGGACATCTGTCAATAATATTCAGTTTATGTCGCTTTGAGTTTCATACAAAACCCTTGTTTTTTACTGTGTTGAATATGTCAAATTTTGTGTTAACTAAGCAGTATTTGAGGGAGGTTTTAGTTTTCTGCTTTAATTGGAAGAAAAGTGCAGCTGAAGCGCATCGAATGCTTGTAGAAGTTTATGGTGACAATGCTCCAACTGATAAATCATGTAGGGAATGGTTTCGACGTTTCAAGAATGGTGATTTCAGCGTTGAAGACAAGCCTCGCTCTGCACAGCCAAAAAAAGCGTAATTCCGTTCGAAGACAAAGTGTTCAGGACTTTACTTAAGAATGCGATATTTGTTAAAGTATATTTCGCGTCGGTAACATGTGCCGAAAAGGAGTATTCAGGACCAACGAGTCGGGTAATGCGTAAGTGCTTTATCGGACACGTATTATGGAAAGTGATGACATTTCACGTTATTTGTATTGACTCTTGACGTTTGATATTACGCAATATGTATGTTCGCTCGTTAGAAGAGAGAAGAGAGGCTCGAGAGCCGTGCTAGAGAATGCATCGCTCTGTATAGTACTCTGACTCAGAAACTCCGTATTCTGCGTCGCGCCTCTGCTATCGCTTCAGGGTTGCGATAACTAGTGGGTCTACGATATCAATAAAGGTGTGTCAAACTCCGGAATTGTTGAGTCTTATTAATTTCAAGAATTCCACAAGCGGTTTGAGACCACGAGACGAGTCCACGGTAAGACTTCAAGCAGCGAGCATAAACGGCATCGAGCTACTAGCCATTGCCGCCACATAAGAATTGGAGACATTACTCGAAGAAGATCTGAGTCAAACGCAAGAGGAGCTTGCAGAATCATTGGGAATTACGCAACAAGCAGTTTCCGTACGATTGAAATCCATGGGAATGATTCACAAGCAAGGCAATTGGGTGCCAAATTATTCTTCTGCATGATAACGCTCGGCCTCATGTCGCAAAAGTCGTAAAAAATTATTTGGAAACGCTCAAGTGGGACATTTTACCGCACCCACCGTATTCGCCGGACATTGCTTCTTCTGATTACTGGTTGTTCCGACGGATGCAGCACGATTTGGCAGGTCACCGGATCACTTCTTTCGCAGAAATCGAAAATTGGCTCCTAACTTGGATCGCCTCAAAAGACGAGACATTTTTTCGAGATGGAATTCGAAAATTGCCTGAGAGGTGGGGAAAAGTAGTAGCCAGCGATGAACAATACTTTGTTTAATCTGTTCACTCATTTTGTTCTGAAATAAATGCATTTTTGACCACAAAAAACGGACCGAACTAATTTGTACTCCCAATAGGTTGTATATTCTCGACATGTTACCGTATACTTTCTTGTGGAACAGGCTGTAAGATTATAATACTTACTGATTAAACAACTACAGAATTCATTGATTATTTGATAAAATTAAGATATGATAAGTACATCCTTTAGCGGTAAAGCATTGCGTTAGTTAAGAAGAGATAATTTTTTTCTGGAATATACAAGGTTTAAACTATCAAACTAACATAATTTTCAAAACATTTGATGTAGGGAAACGGTTTTATTGATAGTCTTTTTTTCTGAAAAGCATACGTGTCAAATTAACATTCTGACTTCACAATGTGATAACTCCGATTAAAGTTTTAGTTTTCTTTTAAAATGTAAATGTGTAGAATTACTTTGACGTTTATAAAAAATTTCAACAATTAACAGTACTAAAATTGTAATTAAAATATAAATTAATTTTACACGTAACATCAAGATCGAATAGTTCTAAATAACTTGTCTAATTTTTTCCGAGAGTTTTTGATAAGTAAAAAAGTATCAAAGAACTTCGCCTATTTTAGATTATTTAAGTACATAGTCATGAATTATATAACCTATTTTATATAAGAGAATAAATATTAAAAATTAAGTAGATTTAGATTTTTAACCCTCATCGCAAGAGTAGTTCTCGTCTTTTAAAAAGTTGTTGAAACTTAAAAGTTTGCCTCGCGTTTAATTATGTAACTTTTGGTTATGATTTTTATTTAATAATTTCAGGAATTCGATATATTTATCAGGAACTCTGGTGCCCTAGTACTCGTGTCGAAAAGAATAAAAAAAAACTAGACAAAGTTTTTTAGATTATATGTTGGATATGAAGTTAATATCCGGTTTTTTAATTGTAACGTTAGTAGTATTAATATCTAGGATTCATTTTATATATAAGTATAAAGGTACTTCCATACTCTCTAAAAAGCAGCTGGAAGACTAACAAGAATTTTTGCTTTATTTACATACAAGGAAAGTTCAGTTCAAGTTAAATTCTTAAAAATCTGAAACTTTAGAAATGAAATATACCAGGTGTATGCATAAGTCTTTTCCGGTTTTTTGGTAAAAAAAAAACACGTAATTTTCAATGGAAATTAATTTTTTTTTAATTCAAAATATTGGCCATCGGCTTCTACACATTTCGCCCATCTTTCAGGTAATTTATGAATACCATGCCAGAAAAACTGCTTGTCTTTTGAGGCAAACCATTCGTCGAGCCATTTTCCAACTTCCTCGAAATTGCTGAAGTGCTGCTCTGCGAGCGCGTGCCCCATTGATGCGAAGAGGTGATAGTCAGATGGCGCCAGGTCTGGGGAGTACGGCGGGTGCGGAAGGATGTCCCATCCAAGCGATTTCAAGGTGTCTTTCACTGGTTTTGCTGTGTGAGACGGCGCATTGTCGTGTAACAAAATCACTTTGCCATGTCTTCTGGCCCATTCCGGTCGTCTTTCGATTAATGCGTGGTTTAAATTAATCATTTGTTGGCGATAGCGTTGTGTATTAACGGTTTCGCCGGGCTTCAAGAGTTCATAATACACAATACCGCTCTGGTCCCACCAGACACAGAGCATGGTCTTCTTGCCGAAGCGATTTGGCCTTGGTGTTGATGGACCGGCTTCGCCAGGTGAAAGCCACGATTTTTTCCGCTTCGGGTTTTCAAAATAAATCCATTTTTCGTCACCCGTCACAATTCGATACAAAAATGATTTCCTTTCGTGGCGTTGAAGCAGCATTTCACAAGTGACTTTGCGATTTTCCATTTGACGTTCATTCAAATTGTGTGGGACCCATTCACCGAGTTTATTGATCTTTCCCATTGTTCGTAAACGTCTGCTGATTATTTCTTGTGATACATGTAATGCTTCTGCTAATTGCCGTTGAGTTTGAGTTGGGTCATCATCCAATAACTCCTGCAATTGCTCGTCTTCGCATTTTTGTGGTCTACCAGAGCGCTCACTGTCTTTCACATTGAAATCACCATTTTTAAATTGTCGAAACCATGTCTCACATGTTCTAATCGATGGAGCGTGTTCACCATATGTTTCTACCAGCAAACGATGACTTTCAACAGCCTTTTTCTTTTGATTAAATAAGAAAAGCAATGCGTGCCGCAAATGTTCTTTTTCAGGCACAAAACTCGACATGATCACTGAACGATAAAACAAAGACGCTAGTTTTTGGCGGACTCAACTTGTGTGTGTTTGTAGTTTTAAATGTCAGACGAACAAAATGACGTATGTGTCAAATTAATACGCTGCGTACTTTTCGTTGGCGCCATCACTTAGTTGAACCGGAAAAAACTTATGCATACACTTGGTATGTACTTAATAACTTTATTTTTTTTTTTACTGAAGAACAGTTTTAACACTTTGTAATCCGCGATCCGTATGAAGTCGCGCTATCTATTTCAAGCAAGTTGAATCTATAACCCATATTGGCCCTACTTTTTCGGTCATAAATACATATCTATATAAAAAGATTTATTAAAATTACAGCAATTTGGCTTGTATTATCGTAAAGTTCATACTTTTCTCTTACCAATTAACGTAATAAATTTTAACTTCATTACTATTCGTTACAACTTCAACCGTATCGTCTATATTCGTAACTTTCTAATGTTTGACTGAGATTTTTTCATCACGTTTACCATTTTTATAACGTTACTAGCACGTTGTTAAACATGTTTTGCATTTATTCTTATCCACATATTTATTCTTAATCATATATGTATGTATATTTCATTAATATTAATGTCCTATCATCACGATATCATTATATTATTATATTGCTGGCGGACTGCAATGTCGAAATTTATGCAATGATACTCTATCGTCGGCAGGTCGCAGAGTGTTAAGAATGAAAAAAACAAAGAAAATAAGATATTTCACGTTTGTTAATATCAAGCTATATAAGAAATATTAAAAAAATATTAGTTACAAAAATTACTTGCATCTTGTTTTAAGAGATTATGATAAAACATCTTAAAAAATATTTTTTTTCTCGAGAAGTAAAATATTTTTAAAATATATTAGGTTGGGGAAAAAGAAATCCATTATGTTTACGTGAACTTCAAGACTTTATTTAACATGTTTCGGATTGTCCGATTTGGGTCAAATATGCACCGTTTTGTTTTATAATTTGTTGCCATTTTAAAGGAAGCTTCATAATGCCTCTCTCATAGAAGTCTTGGTCCCTATTGGCGAAAAACCCTAGTAATCGATTTTCATAATCTTCTCTTGATGCCAATTTCTTATCACTAAGGAAGTTTTGCAATGCAAGAAAAACACGGTAATCGCTTGGTACCGGACTATATGGTGGATGCATCAAAACTTCCCAACCAAGCTCCCGGAGTTTCTGGCGAGTCACTATAGACATGTGTGGCCTGGCATCGTCCTGATGGAACACCTCTCCTGTTGGCCAATTCTGGCCGTTTCTGGTCAATCGCTAGCTTCAAACAGTCCAGTTGTTGACAGTAAAGATCCGAATTTAGTGTTTGGCCATATGGAAGCAACTCATAATAAATGATTCCTTTCCAGTCCCACTAAATGAACAGCAAAACCTTCCTGGCCGTTAGTCCTAGTTTGGCCACCGTTTGAGCTGCTTCACCACGATCGTTTTCGCACAATGTTGTCGTATGTGACCCATTTCTCATTCCCAATCACCATTCACCATCCGTTTAAGAAATGGGTAGATTTCATTCCGTTTGGCCAAGGCTTCGCAGATGGAAATTCGATCTATCATGTTTCTTTGTGTTAAATGGTGTGGCACCCAAACATCGAGCTTCTTTTTGATTCCAGCTTTGTGCAAATAGTTTAAAACTGTTTTATGGTCGATCTTTAGCTCCTGGGCGATGCTACGACTGCTAACATGCTGGTCAATTTCGATTCTTTCTGTGATTTTATCGACATTTTCGACGACGGGCCTACCTGTGCGAGGTGCATCTTTAACATCAAAAATACCTAAACGGAATCGACGAAACCAAAATTGCACGTAATTGGCTGTTACAGTATCGGCACCATAAACACCATTCACAATTACAGCCGCCTGGCTTGCATTTTCGCCTTTATCAAAGAAAAACTGTAAAATGTACCGAATTTTCTCTTTGTTGACTTCCATTTTTAACACCCTGTAACTCACAACTGAATGGACCAAACAAAAAACAACAAAAGAATTTTTTTAGTGCGAAATGTCACCTTTCCAACGAGCATAAATCTGAAATTATTTAATCGATACTTTACGAGATATCGATCACTACAGCCATCTACCGAAAAAATAATGGATTTCTTTTTCCCCAACATAATATTATTTTTTTCATAAAGTATCCTTTATCATTCTTTAATTTAAAGTTTATTTTTTAACAAAATGTTTAGTATTTCACGTATGCATTTTTATCGTTATTGGATGAATTAAACAATTGCTATATCCACAATTAGTTTCAAGGGTAGTAACGCGTTAATAGTAATACCGTTACCGTTATAGTTACTTTTTTTTTCAGTAACAATTTGATAACAATATATGTTATATTTTTTTCATTAATAACGGTAACAGCAACGCAGATATATTTTTTGGGTAACAGTAACGAATATAATCTCACGTTACTTTTATCGTTATTTTGCATATGTACAATACATATATGAAACGAGCAAAAGTGAATCCTAAAAAAAGTTCTCAAAATTCGGTGAAAAAGTAATGAAAATTATAACGATTCACTACTTCTTGAGTAATAATAAAGGTAACGAATTATTTTTATCAATGAATAACAAGTAACGATAATGCGTCATTTTTTCAACAAATAATGAGTAACGGTAACTTTTCAAAATAATTTGGCGGTTTAAAGGCCAACATTATCCGCACTGTATTCGTATTAATAATTTGAACAAAATTATGTCGGTCTTAAACGTGAAATATTAAAGTTGATATCTCATTTTTTGTGTAATATAGGATCCGAAGACGAATACCAGACAAGGACCGAGATATCCAATCTTCGAGGAATTCGTACGATGGCTATTGTGCCAATGGAAAGCAGGAAATGATCTCGATATGCATTGGACACCTGTAGTTAATTTTTGCACACCCTGTCAAGTGCGATTTGATGTAATAGCGAAGTTCGAGACATTGCACGTGAGTGGTAAATAAGGCTGCGATTATCCGGATAAATCATTATTCGGATATTCGAATAGTGATGTCAATATCTATTCGTACTTCGGATACTTCCGAAATATTCGGATATTCCGGAGTATCCGAATACCAAATAACTTAGAAATTGTTCTATTCGTATTATTTGTGGCACGAAGTATCCGAATATCCGGATAATATCTATGAAATAAATTTTATTCGTAGTCGAAGATTATACTCGAGTATCCGGATATTCGAATAACGATGTGATTTGGACTTGAGTCACAGTCCTAATGGTCAAATTTTCGATTGCCGGCATTAAGAACGATGCACTAAATAAACCAATGATTCACGATTTTGTGCTTATATTTTAAAAGACATTAGTTTACGAAATATTAAAAACATAAAATTAATCTTATTTAAACGCTTTTCAAAAATTGTTTCAAAATTGCTTTTTATTGAAGGATGACCAAGACTATGTGATAAAACAAGCGCACGTAGGACACGTCATCAAACCTGAATGGAAAAACCCAACTAGAGGAGTCCAGACGAAAGATGTTATAAAAAATTATTTTACGCAATTATCTAAGACACAGATAAATGATCTTTACGAGATGTTCAGGTATGTATGCTACAAAATGAATAGTTGTATAAGGATGAGTCAAATGAAAACCTTAAATATTTTCATTCATTTAATTCAATTTATTGAATTAAAGTGGTAGTCAAATAGGCGATAGAAGAAAAGATTTTCAAGCTCAATGAAGTGCAAGAAGTACAATAAGTGAGTAGCTGCACATTAGCGTTCCGAAGGTTCGAAAAAACCAGAAGAATTGGGGAAAAACCTGATTTTTTACCGTTTCTTTCTAAGCCTTGAAAAAATAAGAAAAATATGAAAATCTTAGTGTTATCATGCCAATGTTGAGAATAAGGAAGAATAAGCAGAGGCCTGCACTTTTCCTTTTCCGACTTATTGTAAGGATATCAAAATATTTCTTATTATCTATCTTAATCACAAGAAAATAATAGAAGAGACTGAGACTAATTGATACACGGGGCAGGTAGATACATTTAACACAGCTCTAAAATGACAAACGATAAGGCCACATTGAAAATATAGTATTATCGCAAAGACATTACTGTTATATTTCAATAATCATTTGTAAGTTGCAAAATGTATTTTTTAAAACATATAATGCATTAAGTTTTATATAATACAAAGTAAAAAAATCAGTGGTAGATTATATATTATAATTCTAAATCTTGTCATTATATAATAATTTGGGTTGTTTTTTTAGAAACTTTATTTTAAAACTAATAACATCCAGTTATGTTAATGCTGGAAACATTTTTTTAAAGAAATGGCTAAAATGTCAAAATATAGTAAGCCGGGGTTAGTTGAGACGAGAGCATGTTGAGCAGCTATCATCTTGGTTACAAATAAGAAAGTTGAATTTGTAAAACTTCAACCGAATACAATAAGCAGTCTTTATTATAATCGGACTTACGACAAAAGTAAAAAATAAAATGATCAGCCCTGCAAAAATCAGATTTCTTCCTAAATATATCTATTTGTAATATCCAAATGTTTTCTGTTATAATTATTTAAAAAAATTATTTTATACAAACATTTTTTCATTTTTTTAAATTTAATGTATTATTAGTATTAGGTCTATAACTTGAAACCCGCCATCTAGGGATAAATAGTTGTAGCTTTGACAATCGTCAACTGTAATGGCTGAACAAGGTATCATTTTTAATTTTGACATCTGTCAATAATATTCAGTATATAAAAGTTTGTGTTTGTGACAACAACATAACATTTTACTGCGAAGAAAATATCTGAATTTCAACCAAATAAGCATCATTTGCGCGAAGCTTTGCTTTTCTGTTTCAATTTGAAGAAAACTGCTACTAAATGAAATTGAATCTCATCGAATGTTGAAGCTTATAGAAAACTTATTCTATCGGAAACAACTTACAAGGAATGGTTTCGACGATTCAAACTTGGTGATTTTGACACGAATGATAAAGAACGTCCAGGCCAGCAAAAAAATTCGAAAATACAGAACTGCAAGCATTGATAGATGAAGATCCATGTCAAACATAAAATCAACTTGCAAAAACTTTTAATGTTACTCAAGCAGCCATTTCTAAGCGTTTAAAAGCCATGGGTAAGGTATACAAAGAAGGAAAATGGGTACTATATAAACTGAAAGAAAGGGGCATCGAAAGGCGTAAAACCATCTCCGAAATGCTGCTTGCCAAGCAAAAAGAAAGGGGTTTTTGCATCGAATTTGTGAATTGTGACTGGCAATGAAAAGTGGATCTATTTCGATAACCCTAAACGCCAAAAAGCCATTTGCGACTCAGGTCAACCATTAACATCGACGCTAAAACGCAATATTTATGGGAAGAAGGCCATGCTCTGTATTTGATAGAACCAGAAGGGTGTGGTATATTATGAGATACTAAAACCTGGTTAAACAGTCACAGGGGATCTCTACCAACAACAAGTAATCCGTTTGAGCCAAGCATTGCGCGAAAAACGACCAGAATATGAGACAAGACAACATAAAGTAATCTTGCTGCATGACAACGCTCGACCTCACGTCACTAAAACTGTCAAGGAAACATTGGAAGCACTTCGCTGGGAAGTGCTATCCCATGCGGCTTATTCACTAGACTGTGCCCTTTCCGACTACCACTTGTTTCGGTCGAAGGTACACACACTTGTTGAGGAACATTTCAACTCTTATGAAAGCGTCGGAGCGCGAGCGTGATATGGTAGATAGCGCACTAGTCTGCTAGACATGCTAGAGGTCCCGGGTTCGCTCCCCGGCATAAACCAGAAAATTTTCACACGTTCGTAGCTCCTCTTCGGTGGCCCGGCAAACCACCAAAGAGTAATCTCTTGCCAAGAAAAACTTCTCTCCAACTTTGCCGTTCGGAACCGGCGTTAAACTGTAGGTCCCATATGCATGTATACGATCTGTGTGCGCACCATGCTAGCTTCCGTAGGGCTAATAACCCACGTAGAGCGAAAAGCATCTATTCAGAGACAAATGAAAAATACCCCGACGCTTAGCGGCACAAAGGGAAGAAGAAGAAGTAGAAGATGAAAGCGTCGAAAGAGCTCTGATTGGATAGCCTTTAAAGATGATGTCTAATTAAGTTAGCCTCACCACCATCGAAAGTAAAGTTAAATTCCTCATGAAAATTAAGTGCTAATTAGATGCTAATTTAGTGCTACAAACAAAAATTTGGTGCTCCAGTGATTTGGCGGGAAATAAAAGAAAAACATTGAGGAGGGGGCGACTAACTTAAAGATAACCTATTCCCTCAAATTAAAAAAACATATAAACAAAAAGAAAATCGAAAAAACAAGTATGCTAAAATTAAGTACTAACTAGGTTATCATGAGAGCACCTAATTTTTTCGCAGAGTTATACTTGAACGATACTTTAACGGGTTAGTAATTTTTATTGCAAAATTCTGTAAAATGGAACGAGCACCAAATTCAGCGATTATATTTCTAGGTACTCCAAGAATATAAAAAGAAATATCATAAAAACCAAACCGTTTATTAGTAAAAAAATTAAAAAAAGGATTGAGCCATTATGATCTAAGTACAAGACAACTTAAAAAATTAAGTGTACGCTCGATGTTGGTGTCAAATTGTTCGTTTTTTTATATATATTCGAGATATTTAATCGTTTTTTTATATATATTCAAGATATTTAATTTGGTGCTCATTCGATTTTGCAGAATTTTGCAATAGAAGTTATTAAGCCTTTCCTTCGTTGTTCAAGTATAACTCTGCGAAAAAATTAGATGCACTCATGACTTTGATGTAAAATTACTCGTCTTTTTATATACTATCCAGAAATATAATCGCTGAATTTGGTGCTCGTTCCATTTTACAGAATTTTGCAATAAAAATTACTAACCCGTTAAAGTATCGTTCAAGTATAACTCTGCGAAAAAATTAGGTGCTCTCATGATAACCGATTTGGTTTTTATGATATTTCTTTTTATATTCTTGGGGCACCTAATTAGCACTTAATTTTATCCTACTTTTTTTTCGATTTTCTTTTTGTTTATGTTTTTTTAAGTTTGGGGGAGGACTAAGTTATCGTTAAGCTAGCCCCCTCTCCCCGTATTTTTTTTATTTCTCGCCAAACCGTTGGAGAATCAAATTTTTGTTTGTAGCACTAAATTAGCGCCTAATTAACACTTCATTTTCATGAAGAATTTAACTTTATTTTCCATGATAGGGGGGGGGGGAGGCTAACTTAACCCGTTGCGGTCCGCGCTGTATTCGCAATTTCGTCCCAGCCGGCCCTTCACAGCTTTCGCCAATTGCTCATCCGCTTGGTATCGTTTACTTTGGGAAACATTTATGATGCTATACCGCAGCTCTTATCTTATCTCTTTTAGCGTATGATGAAGACTCTGTCAACGTCGACTCTGTCGCGTCATAGGACGCGTTGGAACGAAACGCGGTGTCGAGTGTCGCTCATCATAGGACTGCTGGAACGAAACGCTGTGTCGAGTGACGCTCGACATAAGACCGCAACGGGTTAATAGACATCTAAAGATGAATCGTTCTTTTGCCGTAGGATCCGTTTATTGCCAGAAAGATAGGAAAAAGTCATATCGTCGGTGAAGAATGTTAACCTGCTAACTCCATTTTTAGGCCAAAAATGTATTTGGTACTGTTAGAATTATAAAAACAAAACTGATTCTAATAAAAAAACAGCTATCCAATGTTCATTAAAAAATGTTTATTTATGGCGTCAATAATACCTGCTATCTCCTCTTGAATGAAAGTGCGCCCGAAGAACTGCTAACTCCGTAAGCTGATGCAATAATGCGTAATGTTGGTAGAGTTAGTATTCTGTTATCTGCAAGTGTGCATATTAGTTCATCGTTTCCTTGTTTAACATTTTTTTCTTTTGCATAAAGGTATGTATTTATTAAACGTAATTTTAACTTTAATTAACTATGAAATGAGAACCTAATGCATGTTTTTTTAATTTGTCAAAATCTTGTAAAAGTTTCATCTACTTTTACTCAAAAAACACAGATAATTTTTTGTTTTTGATAAGTTTTATATAATGATAATTAAAATACTACAATAATAAATATAATAAAAATAATTCTGTTGTAAATTTAACGTAGTAGATAAATTGCACGCAGTAGTTTGAGCTTCGATAACCGATTTACATGATAAATCACAACTGTAATCATTGTATACTTTACAGATGTCCCGTGGAAGAAAGTTAGTTGGTCTTGCTCTAAAAATCGGAAATACTAAATCACATTTCTCTAAACTTAATGATCAAGAGTCAAATAATTATACAACACTTGAAGGTGTTGAATTTATCTATGAGATGCCTGACGAAGTGCCTTTAACAGAAATACTTAGTTTTGACCAGTTTACAGTTAATCAGGGTCAAAATCATGAAGAAGTAATGCTGAATGACGAATGTTTTGAGTTGGTCGAAAATATAGAGCATCCAGTTGCTCACATTCAGAATTCTTTGGCAGATGAAAGCATGAACACTGTGAAGAATTTCTTGGTACCGCATTCAGATACTAGCTCTGACTCAGTCTTCGTTA